GTGAAAAAAATAATGCACTAAGGATAGATAGGCTTTTGTAAGTGTGTATTGTACAACTGATGCATGTTTATTTTTAGCATTGTGTTATTGCCTCTGCTGCTAATAAATGAACAAATGACTGTCTGGAGGGACAGCAAAAACACTTGCTTATTTTCAGAATACTAGAGGTATATTTTTATTTTTGCTATACACATTTTTCATCTTCACATTCCTTGGTCCTGAGTTTGAAACCCCATAGTTTTTTTCTTTTTTTTAACTAAAAAAAGAAGTTCAACTTATTCTAAGTTTGAATAATCTTCCAGATTTATCAAAGTATTCATTCTTATTCATAATCATATCATTGTTTTTAAGGGAAAACTGCTCTTATGATCATAGTAGGTTGATTGGTTGTTGGTTGTTTTAATAGTTTTAAAAGCACATCAGTGATTATGGTTTCAAGTCTAACAGATTTAACTTCTGATTTACCAGGGAAACTGTCATATGCTATTCACCTCCAAATTCAGAGTGCAGGGGTGGGGTGGGATTCTGAGGGAGAGGGTCAATGATCATAACTGACCTTAGAGAATAAATCTCATTGAAGTGTATACCAGTAAGAATTCTGAGTTGCAGACAACAAAAACCATTGTGATTAACTTAAGCAGAAAAAGAATTTATTGGAAGAATATAGGTAGCTCACAGACTTGACGGAAAGGCTGGAGAACCACTCTTGGAAAGCTGGTAGAAACCGAGGAAGCTAGACTATGACCAAAATTATAGGCAAGTTCCAACTCCAGGGGAGCTGGAGGTCTGTGTATGTTTGTGCCAGCAGGGATGCCTCTGAAAACTGGATCCCAGACATCCACTTACTTCCATCACTCATTCCAGATTCAAAGTCTGGTGAGATCATACGACTGACAGGCTTAGTCTCGTGCCAGCACCCAGGCTGTCAGGCACCCAAGACAGTGAGTATATCGGACTTCGTCAGCTTCTCCAGCAGAAGATGGGACTGTTTCTCCTGCCAGAATTCACTAAACCTGTGGAATGGGTTTGATGACTGAGCACCAAATAGAAAAACACATCAGAGGTCTACTACAGTCCATCTCTTTGCCTTTCCAACATCACAAATATCATATTCACACATTTTTTAAATGCTTCGTCCTGACATACTGCTATTATCCCCCATCCAGTTTCAAGTCCAGGATTTCAGGGTTACGTCCATTTGTCGTCTGGTTTTGTAATGATCTTGCCTCAGTGGTGTGCAGCCCACAGACAAAACTGTGACTTTATCACCCCCCCTCCCCCGCTGCCAATATACAAGGAGAGAAAAGAAATTATTAACTACATAAGCACACGCATGAGCCAGTGAGGAAGTAACTACAGCTAGAGCAGTGCTTTGCAAGTTTCCTTGGTGAACTTCAGGGCCCCACGACAGACCAACTGAAGCAGAATCTCCAGGGTAGGATATAGGGAGCAGTGTGTTTTATGTCCCAAAGCTCTCTGATTTCAAACCAAAACAAAACTATGGTAAATAGAGCCCTCAGTTCTGCCACTGGCCATTAAGCTAGATGGCTATGACCTGTCACCAGTGCCACTTATTCCGTTTTCTTTGTGCTCAACCAGCACCTCAGCTGATCAGATTTCTTTACCTTTTGTGTGACCCAAGGATCTGAGGCTTGGGTGGCCTTGCCTCTATTTGGTTGCAATAATCTTTGCTTAATGTTTACAATTCAACATGGTGTGAGAGGTTATTCCAGGAGACGAGGTCCCCCAAGTTCTAGACAGAGTCCTCTCCCCACTCCCTTTTCCCCCGTGGTCACCAGGGCCCATCGCTACAGCCAGCACCTTAACCACTTTTTCTAACTCCTTACCTAGGGGCATGAGCTACAAATGGCCAGGAGGCAATCCCAACTTCCAGTTCAGAGAAAACACTATCTATCCACTTATACCCCACTCTGGGTACAAACTTAGCATACCAGCAGAACCTGGAATCGTGCAGACGGATGGTGAGCCGCGAAGGATCTGAGATTGTATCTACTTGTCTTGCTTGCAGTCTTGCTGCAGCTTCATGGATGCATGGAGACAGGAGACTCCCAGGTCAGCGACAAGAGACCTTACTACAGCAAAGTCGTGGCCAAACGGTCAGCACAGTCACACCAGCTCCTAGAGCCTCATTTCCCACGGTGATGCTGAGGGCCAAGTGAGGCGTGTACACGCGATGCAGGGCCAGGGCCAAGCAGTTTGGATTGCATTACAGGAGAAGAATCCAGAGGCAAGGGCCAAGCCATTTTTGAACAAGCAGCACAAGCAGCACACAAGCCAGTTCTTTCCACCAGGAGAGCAGCAGTTAAATGGTAGCAATGCTGTGGTTGCCTTGACCCACTTAGATGCCCATATGACCAGATGCAGAAACTGCCCAGTATCAGGCAATGAGTTGCAGCTGGGATACTCAGCAATAATATGCAGGGATGCTCGGGACCCATGGCAGACTGTGTCTCCCCATAATGGAAAGCAAAATACACGGGCAGGGTGTGAGACGTCACAACAAGAGGTCAATCCCTCTGCTGCTCTTTGGAGCCTGTTATTCTGTCAACAGAAGAGCTATCACTGAACACTGTTAACTCATTTGGAGCACATGCCAAATCCTTCAGGACAGCATCCCAAAGCATTTTCGCACCTGGTTCCAAGAGTAAACCTTTAACAGGGCTGTCCTACAAGACCAGCTGCTTCTGATCTGATGGGATACGTGATGAGACTGGTTTATCCCACAGGCATCTGTATCCACAGGAAACAATGTTGTATGGGATGCTACATAAAGTGTACGGAACATAAGGTATTCAGTAAGTCCACAGGTGAAGTGTTAAAAGAAGCATAAGTCAGGGAAAGCAATCCAAACCCAGAATAATTGTCTATTCCTATAGAACAAATTGCTATCTCCTTCATTGTAGTACAGTCCCTTGTAACCAAAGCTGCCACCAGGCTATTCCATATTATATCAGGGATCGATCGGGTTGGTCACTGCAAGTAGTGGTGGCTAGCCCATCAGTCTTCGCAGGGGGGATACTGTGTTAACACATGCATGTCTCCGTGCCACCGTGCCTCCCTTGTTAGGGGGGCACTGAGCAAGCACAGCTGGGGTGAGGGGAGGAGGCTAAGCAATGCCTGCAGAATGGTCATGGTGGTCAGCAGCCTCTAAAATGCCCTTCAGTGATCCCCACCTGCTGGCATTCACCCCCAGTGTAATCCCCTCCTGTTGAGGTGGGCTGGATCTGCTAATTCATTCGCTTCTAATGACAGAGTTCAGCAAAAGTGATGGGCTTTCACCTCTGAGGTTAGATTACGGAAGGGCTGTGGCTTCCATCTCGAGCAGTCTCCCTTGTTCTGCTTGTTCATTCCGTGGACACCCAGCTGCCATGTTGTGAAATGACCTTTGGAGAAGCCCACGCAGCGTGGAACTGAGGGAGGCCTTCAGTCCAAAAGCCACAGGGAACTAAATCCTGCCAATAATCATGTGCGTGAGCTCGGAAGCTGATCTTCCCCTAGTCAAGCCTCCATGCGAGACAGGAGCCCCAGCTCACAGCCTGACTGCAACCTCATTTAACACCTAGAGCCAGAGGCGCCCTGGTTCCTGGATTTCGGACACACAAAAACTGCGAGAGGATAGATGTCTATTGTTTTAAGCCCCAAAATGTTGGTATAATATGTTAGACAGCAGTACATAACGTGCAGTAATCTTGTTTCTGATTAAGAGCCCTTTTGCCATGGAAGCCTTCTTTTGAGCACTCAGTGGGACCCAAATGTTCTTATGCTTTGGGGCCATTTGGAGAGGTCCTAATTCCAAAAAAACCTATTCCAAAACCTTTACATTTTCCCAGTCCCTGACCACTTGATTTCAGTGCCCATGAATTGATGCAGATCTTTATCTCTAGCTATATCTCCTTCCAGGCAAAGAGTAGAAGATAAAGTTCTGCCCTCTGGGAGGATCTTTTTTCTCTCTGCTGTTTCCTCGAGGGCCTCTGTTAAATGCAGCTCGAAATGCCAAAGCAGTCATTTGCCAGCTGGTCAGTATATTGAGCAAAGCCCTCCGTAATCCAGCTTTGAATTTTTTCCTCTGTCAGCTGGTCACAAGGAGCTCACCACTAAACTGTAGATAGGAACTAAGGGTGAAGTGTGTATGTAAGCTACCGAGCTACCTGCTAATGAAAACTGCTTGGGTTTTGGCTCTGGCCGCGTTCCGAATATACCACTGCCTCCTGGTGAAAGGAGTCCTTATCTAGGGGGACCAGATGACTCCGGTTCGTGATGAGAAACTCAAATTATATAGCCACCTGATATTACTCGGTCAGACATCACCAGGGCCCAAGAACTTTCCTAAAAAAGGAAGGAATGAAGGAAGAAAAAAAACACCCGAAGGACTCCGGTGTGATTCTGTGTAGACTTTCCACAGGTCCCATGAAGCCTCCTGACCTGCCACACGTGCTCCGAACACGGCAGGAGCCGCTGGAACCGGAGGGCGGATGCGCAGCTCTCCTTCCCAGCAGCTGGACCAGATGAGAGCCTTCTGCTCTGCGCTGCACCCAAACGTCATCTTCCAGGCCACCTGGTCAGTGGGCCAGAGTTCGCTGAACAAGCAGAAATGTAAAAAAATAAAGACGGAGAACTGAGGGGAAAGAAGCCTATTGCACAGGCAAAAGAGTAGAAGGTGCCCACTATTTGTGGACTGGAGCAGCGAGCTTCCAAGAGACCTTCGCCTCAAATTGAGAGGAACAAACGGAAGCATTCCCTCATCCAACTTCAGCCATGATTTGAGGTTTTCATCAACACGAGGTTCAGGGTAGTTTGGGTTGTTCTTCATGATAAGGCCGAGCCGCTCCACTTTTGCCTGCGTACAGCCAGGTGCGGGAGCGCGGGTTTCCGGCGCTGGCTACGGAGGCCCCGCCCGCCCCGCGGAGGCCCCGCCCGCCCCGCGGAGGCCCCGCCCGCCCCGCGGAGGCCCCGCCCCCTCCCGCGGGGCGTGCCGGGAAGACGCGGCTGTTGCGGACGCGGCGGGAGCTGGCGTCATGGTTGTGCTGGGTTTCACCTCGTTGCTTGGCCACATCCCGGCCACAGCGTGGAGAGCGGCAAGTAAGGCGCCCGGTCCCGCGGGCGGGGTCGCGAAGGCACGGAGGCCGCGAGAAACGCGTCCGGCGGGGTAGCGGCGTGTCGCGGGCTCGGGGGCCCCGGGCCTGCCGAGCCTTCGTGTCCTGCACGGCCACCGCGCTCGTCCCCGGCAGGTCCTTCCCGCCCGAGCTCAGGGCGGGACCGGAGCTGGACAGTCGCTGGGCCCCGCTGTCCGGACGCCTCCTTCCCGGCGGCCACCGCGATGGCCACGAAGCGGGCGGGCGTCCTGAGTCCTGGGGGGTTCGCAGGGCGCGCGGCATCTGGTGCGCGTGGAGAGTGTGGAAAAGCGGGCCCTGCGGCAGTGGACTCATCATTTGCTTATTTAGTTTATTTACAGCGAAAAAGATCTCTGGCAGTCTACAGTACTAGAAGTGGAAAAGTGCAGAATTTTGGAAAAGTGGGCCGAAGGCTAATAAGTATAATAAAAATTAGGTGAAGCCAGGAATTATTCTTGAGAAAGTATGCATGCTTTTAGTAAAAACCAATCTTGTAAAACCCATTTTTGCTGGAAAATTTTCTCAAAATATTACAGCCTTAACCCACAGAGTATGCTAAGCCTAGTTTTAATTTAGGACACGCTGGAAAAATTGTGTTAAGTTGAAGACAATTCCGCCCCTCCTCCTGATGGGCCCCAGATTCCTATAAAGTTTGTTTTCCTTTCTGTAATCATCTCTCCCCAGACAGACTACCTGTTAAGTTGTAAAAATTTTAAATGATCCAGGAATGAATAATATATAAAGTAAAAGTCCCATAATGTTCAAACCTCGAGGTAATAACTGTGTGAAGCTCCGTTGTGTGTTCATTCAATATCCCTTTTTCACTAGTGTTCAAAACTTAAGAATGAAGTGTTTCATACCAAAAATTTACATAACACATGTGAGTTGTGAAGCAAAGCCAACATTTATGAATCCATTCTCCAGTTTAAGAAATAGAATATTTCCATTGCCAAGCGGCTACCTGCTACCTGCTTCCTGATGCAGTTGTGTAACTGTAAGCTTTTGATCTTTACAGAAAGGGCTTCGTGCCATTTGTATTTATTTTACTCGCTTTTTTCACCTGACTGGTTTGAGATTCATCCATGTTGATATGTGATGCTGTAATTATTCATTGAGTTATGAGAGTGTATCATACGTTTTTCCTTTCCCCTTCTCAGTGGACATTGTGTAACTCTAGAAGCACCAGGATTGACTGCTACACATCTTGTGTACACTGTAGGTGTACTTGCACAAGGGGTTGAATTCCTGGAATATGTGGCATAGGCCTGTTCAGTTTTACAATATGATGGCAAGCTGTAAAGGCATTTTCCATTCCTACTGGCTACGTATACTTCTACCAGCAGTATTAGAGTTCCTGTTGCCCCACATACTTGCCAACATTGGATAGCATCAGAAAATTAAATTTTTGTCTGCCTCTAGGGTGTTGAAACGGTATTTCATTACAATTTTGCGTTTCTCTGATTAGAGAAGTTAAACATCTTTTCGAAAGTTTTTCGCTTTTTTTGATGAAATATCTCTTCATTTTCTTATTGGGTTGTTTGTCTTTCTTATTTATATTCTTTACATGTATTTGACCACTATACCTTTTTTACTTATGTAAATGGCAAATAGCTCTGTTTGAGGGCGGAGGGAATGAAAAGTGCTTACTGAACTGAGAAGTCATCTTGAGACTGAAAAACACGGCAGGCAGGTTCATACAATCGGTGAATCAGTTTATCATAGGGTAACTTACCTGTAAAGGCTGAGAGCAGGCGGACAACCGTCAGGAAAAATTAACAGCCGCCCTCCAAACCGCCAAGGGGGCCATTGGGACAGTTTTATAGTTGACCTAGACTATGGAGGTATGTGCTTGGAAACAGGAAGTGCGTTCCTAAGATTTATGAGTAGGTAACTGGTCTTGTGGGTGCCCGGAATATGTCAGCGAAGATTTTCCTCATTGTTTGGGGACTGACAGAGTATAGAGGCCACCTGATCCGAATGATTATTGAACAATGTCGATTAACTGCTAAGCCCTTGACAACAGAGAGTGATTGACTTCACAGTACAGTCCTGGGTAGGGTCAGCAGAAAGCCTGTATGGGCCCAAGATGGCCTCACTTATGCTAACGGCCATACAAGCTCAAGCTCAGTTTGTGGACTGCTTTTGTTACTCTTATGGTGTCTTTTTCTAAAACATTATCTTCAGCAGTAGACAGAATAAAATAATGGATCTGATCGTACAGTCACACAGATTCAAAGGAAAGGTGTCTTTTGATAAACAGGTATTCGTAATTTTATTATAATCTTGTCTTGATCCTTTTGTTTATTGTCTGTACTTTGTGGTCTTTTTTAAAGCCTTCCCTACTCTAAGGTCGTAGAGATATTCTGTATTTTCTCCTCAAAGGTCTATTGTTTGGCTTTTTATATTTAAGCCTTTATGCTACCGGGAATTGATTTTCATGTATGGTGTGAGGCAGGAAACCAATTTCACTTTCTTCCCATGTCAGTAACCAGTTGTCCCAGGTCCATATATTGGACCTTCCCCCCCAATGTAACGCCCCTGTCATGAATCAAGTTTACATATACATATGCACGTGGGTTTATTTCTTGGCTCTCTTCAGTTCCATTGATCTATTTGTCTGTTCCTGTGATGTAACACCTATCTTAATGACCATGCCTTTGTAACAACTCTTGATATTTAGTAGAATAAGTCCTTTCATCTTGTTTTTCAGAAGTGTCTTGGCTATTCTTGGATATCTGCTTTCCATATAAAATTCTTAAAAAAAAAAGTTCCTGTTGGGGTTTGGTTACAACTGCTCGATATTTTTTAAGATTATCATTTTCTGATTGCTGCTTATGTATAGAAACACAGTTGACTTATTTATTGATTTTGTGTCCAGTAACCTGGCTAAATTACTTTATTAATTTAAATAATTTATTTGCAGATTTTGGTGGGGCGGTGCTAGGTAGACACAAATATTGCCTGCAAATAATGAAAATCTATTCTCCCTTTCTAATCTTTATATCTTTTTCTTTTCTCTTGTTTCTCTGTCCTTGCTCAGATTTCCAGTACCATGTTGCGTAAAAGTGGTGATAGGCGTACTTGTTCATAATTGTAAAGGAAATATGTTCATATTTCATCATGTAATATTAGCTGTAGGTGTGCCCTTTATTAGGTTAATGAAGTCCCTTGCCATTTCTAGAAGGATTTGGGGGGTTTTTTGTTTATGTAGTTGTCTGTTTTTTAAGACAGAATAAATCTTGAAATTTACTAATTCATTTTTCTTCATCTTGTTTGTTAATTCACTTTTCTCCTTTAATATGGTGGGTTGGTGAATTATAAATTTTTCTAGTGCTGAATCACTCTTGCATTTCTAGAAAATATTCAGATTGATCAGGTTGATTATATTATTAATTTAGTGTTGGGTTTGGTATGCTAATATTTTGTTTAGAAGTTGGCCTGTAATTTTCCTGTCTTGGAATTTCCTTTTCTGGTTTTGAAATTAAAGTTATTCTAGCCTCTTACAATGAATTCCGGAGGCCCCGCCCGCCCCGCGGAGGCCCCGCCCGCCCCGCGGAGGCCCCGCCCGCCCCGCGGAGGCCCCGCCCCCTCCCGCGGGGCGTGCCGGGAAGACGCGGCTGTTGCGGACGCGGCGGGAGCTGGCGTCATGGTTGTGCTGGGTTTCACCTCGTTGCTTGGCCACATCCCGGCCACAGCGTGGAGAGCGGCAAGTAAGGCGCCCGGTCCCGCGGGCGGGGTCGCGAAGGCACGGAGGCCGCGAGAAACGCGTCCGGCGGGGTAGCGGCGTGTCGCGGGCTCGGGGGCCCCGGGCCTGCCGAGCCTTCGTGTCCTGCACGGCCACCGCGCTCGTCCCCGGCAGGTCCTTCCCGCCCGAGCTCAGGGCGGGACCGGAGCTGGACAGTCGCTGGGCCCCGCTGTCCGGACGCCTCCTTCCCAGCGGCCACCGCGATGGCCACGAAGCGGGCGGGCGTCCTGAGTCCTGGGGGGTTCGCAGGGCGCGCGGCATCTGGTGCGCGTGGAGAGTGTGGAAAAGCGGGCCCTGCGGCAGTGGACTCATCATTTGCTTATTTAGTTTATTTACAGCGAAAAAGATCTCTGGCAGTCTACAGTACTAGAAGTGGAAAAGTGCAGAATTTTGGAAAAGTGGGCCGAAGGCTAATAAGTATAATAAAAATTAGGTGAAGCCAGGAATTATTCTTGAGAAAGTATGCATGCTTTTAGTAAAAACCAATCTTGTAAAACCCATTTTTGCTGGAAAATTTTCTCAAAATATTACAGCCTTAACCCACAGAGTATGCTAAGCCTAGTTTTAATTTAGGACACGCTGGAAAAATTGTGTTAAGTTGAAGACAATTCCGCCCCTCCTCCTGATGGGCCCCAGATTCCTATAAAGTTTGTTTTCCTTTCTGTAATCATCTCTCCCCAGACAGACTACCTGTTAAGTTGTAAAAATTTTAAATGATCCAGGAATGAATAATATATAAAGTAAAAGTCCCATAATGTTCAAACCTCGAGGTAATAACTGTGTGAAGCTCCGTTGTGTGTTCATTCAATATCCCTTTTTCACTAGTGTTCAAAACTTAAGAATGAAGTGTTTCATACCAAAAATTTACATAACACATGTGAGTTGTGAAGCAAAGCCAACATTTATGAATCCATTCTCCAGTTTAAGAAATAGAATATTTCCATTGCCAAGCGGCTACCTGCTACCTGCTTCCTGATGCAGTTGTGTAACTGTAAGCTTTTGATCTTTACAGAAAGGGCTTCGTGCCATTTGTATTTATTTTACTCGCTTTTTTCACCTGACTGGTTTGAGATTCATCCATGTTGATATGTGATGCTGTAATTATTCATTGAGTTATGAGAGTGTATCATACGTTTTTCCTTTCCCCTTCTCAGTGGACATTGTGTAACTCTAGAAGCACCAGGATTGACTGCTACACATCTTGTGTACACTGTAGGTGTACT